ATAAACATTTTGTGGAAGCACTCATGCATATAAAAAAGTACACAAATTGTAAGTGCTTAGCTCTATGGATCTTCAAAGTAAACACTCCCCTGTAACTGAGATCAAGCACATGTTACCGGGCCCTGGAAGGCCCTGGTGTCCGTCCAGGTCACTGCCCTCCCTAAGGTCACTGCCGTGCTGTCCTCACACTGGTTTCTGGACACCCCACGGCTGTTCTGCACTCTGCTTCACACTCGCAGTATGTTTGGACTGAAGGTGGTGGCTGCTCAGGGGCTGGGTTTGGATGCAAGTCCTTCAGGGACCTCGTCTGGGGTCAGGGTTTGCCTGAAGTCTGGTCGGACAGCCAGGGCTTCCTCAGGCTGATGGATGCAGAGACCCCCGGCCCCAACCTTCCGGGGCAGCTGCTTTGTTGTCAAGCTGCTGGACGGGACGTTTCCCTGCAGGAGCCACTGAGAGGGGGGCTGGCGAGCGAGCCCGCTGCACCACTCACAGACTGGAACCTTCCCGGTGCGGTGGCCCACCTCAAGCCTGCCAGGTGCCCTTCCCCAGCTCCCGGGGAACCTCCCCACAGGCAAGCTCGGGCCACCCAAGCCACAGGCTCAGGGTCGCAAACTCTCAGCAGGCACAGTCCGTTGGGGGAGGCTCACCCAGAACCCATCAGCTCACCCTGGGATGACTCACAAGGCGATCCCAGCAGGGGCTAAGTCCTTATCACCAGAATCACCCACCAAGTGCTGCTTTAGAAATCCAGGTTCCTGGGCCCTGCTCAGGACCTTGTGGGGTCAGACTCTGTGCGACAGGGCCCAGCTGGCGGTCCTGTGTGGCTGTGGCTGGGATGATGGGTCTGCCTGGGGACCTGCCACTGGGCAGGGCAGGTTGGAGTGAGACACTGAGGCCCAGGCCCGTGCCAAGGGCACAGGGTGTGGGGAAGTGTCAAAGCCGCCTATCCCAGGGGGCTCTGCCTGGAGCTGGGTCCTGGGCTCTGAGAGCCACTGCCGCCAGGCCGATGCCCCTGGGGGGCGGGGACGGAAACCAGGACTTGGTGGTGCGGAGGTTGGAAGGCACTGGTCACCTAGACCTGCCTCCCTTGGGCCCCAGCCTTCGTCTCACTCCTGCGCCTTCGTGCAGAGGCAGGCCCTCTGTCCGCGCTCTTTCAGTAGAAGGAGAGGTCTTTCTTGTGTGGATGTGAAACCCACCGCCCTGTCACTCGACCCTGTTTCGCGTGACACCATCAGGACTGAAAGGGAGAAGCAGACCGCTGTCATTTTCAGGGGCTGTGACCATGGACGTCGGACCCAGAGCCGACAGACATGTGACCACAGGAAGGAGAGAGCTGGTGAGGCCGCCAGGTGTTAGATCGATGTACAGCATTCAGCTGGATTCCTGCACACCAGAGCAAACAACCCCCCCAAAAAAGAAGTAAATAGAAAATACATTTACAGTAGAATCACAGGATATCAATTATTTAACAATACATCTAACAAAAGATGTATAAGACCTCTGCAGTAGAAATTATACAATTTCATTATGATAAATTTTTCAAAGACATAAATGGAGTGGCATGCCAGAGCCACGGACGGGGTTCATGTTATAAAGATGACAGTTCTCCCCAAGTCAGTGTGTAGATTCAATGCATTCCAAAGTCCCAACCAGGTATTTTCATAGGACACACAGGACTGTTCTGAAATGCACACAAAAGAATGAATGACTGATACATCTCTGTGGAGAGAGGCGGTTTCCCTGCCACACGTTGGGATCACTGTGAATCACAGTCTTTGGGTGGTGTGAGGCCACTGCATGGATAGACAGCAGGGCGCTGGGACGGGACAGTGGGCTCAGGGGAAGCGGTGCATGTGAGGTCAGGGGGAAAGGAGAGCCCTTCAGTCAGTGAAGGTAGAAAAAATGGCTATTCAAATGGAAAACGATGTCATTAACTCCCTATGTACTGAGGACATAAATGTCAAAGACAAAACAGTAAATTCTAGGTAGTAAATACATGACTCTTTTAGATATTGGGGTTGGAAACAATTTCATAAACACGGCACACAAAATCTGGACTACTGAATGTGTCAGAGTCCTGGCAAGAAACAGAAGACACACTCAGAATGAGCACTTGGTGGGAAGTTTTAAAAAAAGAGATCATTTACAAAAGTGTGGGCAAGGCTTACGGAACCAAAGACAGGATGCCCGGGACTCTGGGGCAGGAACACCAGGGAGATGGGGGGACATCCGCCGGGACTCAGAGGAAGATCCGGGGAGCCGGCCCCTGCAGGAGCTGTGGCCTTGGTGGGGGGGACTTGCTGACCTCGGTGGCCAGGCTTCACCCCGCTCCCAGTCTCTGCTCCTGCTGGTGCGTCTGCAGGGCTAAAGCCCCCAGAAGCCAAAGGGCAGGTGCCAGGGTCAGGCCGCCTCCATGCCTCAGGCACGGAGGTGAGTGCAGACTGGGCGGGGAGCCTGGGCTGGGGGGCAGAGGTCACTCGCACAGCTGGAAACGGTCAGTACGCTTGGCTGTGCTCCAGTGAGGGGCTCTGTTAGTCAAAGAGCACCCTAAAGAAAGTGGAAAGGCAAGCAGTGATGGGGAGAAGACGCCTCCGCTACACACCCCTGGGAAGGGCAGCACCATGGGCACACAGAGAACATCCATGGGACCCAGGAACCCGGCCACCCCAGCAAAGCAAAGGAACCTGCAGCTCGGATGGCCCGTGAAGGAAAAGCACATGGCCAAGATCGGGGGACGCTCACCAGTGAGGCTGGCTGGGGGAGTAGAGCTGGAGCTGTAGGCTCTGTTCACACCTGTTTGCAGAACAGTTAAAAAATCTAGTAACATCAAGAGCTGGAGAGGATGAGAACCCTCGGGGTCCCTACCTCTGCTGGAGAGTTTAAGTTAGTGTGATCACTTTGGGAAATATTTTTACACTCTCCCATAAATTCGAGCCTGTGGCCCCACACCGCCACTCCCGGCCACATTCTCATTCTACGGGGACGTGTAAGTGTGTTCTAAGCAGCAAAACTGGAGAACAACCCAAATGGGAAACCTGTCGGGAGTCTACACAGGAGCAGCAGCATCGGGACAAAGGAGCACAGTGACCTCAGCAGCTGGGGTGCTCACACCACCCCCCGCGGGAGGAAGGCCCAGGGGGCACTCACAGGGCAATGCGCCTCCTGTGTGCACTTTTTTTAATGCTTTTTTTTAAAGGCATTAAGAAGGACGACAAAGGAGGAAGGCTTGTGGAACTCCGGACTCCCTGGTGGACACGGGATGGAGCAGGACCCGGGATCAGAACAAGGCTCTGTTAGGTCCCCACTGATGCCTCCAACACTGGCCACATTGCTTAAGATAACAACGTAACAACACAGGGCCAGCAGCAGCCACGCGTGGGCTGGGAGGCAGGGTCCTGGATCAAGGACTGAGTGAACCCGGCTCTGTGCACTCAGTCCAAACGGGAGGCTATCATGTGTCCTCACACTTCTTGAGTGGCTCCTGAGCTTCTGTGGCCCCTCCGCTCCCCAAAGCTACAAGGTGAATCTGCAGGGCACGAGAATGTGGGCTCCAGCCTTCTCCTGTCAGCGCCAGTTCTGCCTGGTTCACAGACCTCTCTGGGAAAGACCTAGAATTCCTCATAACTGGAGAAAGCTGTGACCTTTGGGGACAGGACGGCTGCTCCTGGGGCCTGGGTTCCTGCCTCTGACTTCCACTTGGGATTTCTAATGCAGGGATCACCAAGGAGCTCCTTTTAAGGGTGTCTGAGCTGTCTGTCCTTGGAGGAGGGGGTGTGCGCCCGTGGGGACGAGTTTGGCCCAGCTGGTCCATGGTCCGGAGGCTGGGAGGCTGCACACAGCCCAGTGATGCCTCTTCCCTGGGGACCGGGGACAGTGTCCCACAGGCATGGGGGAGCAGAGGCGGGCAGCAGTGGTCACTGGCCTCCGGCACCACCTGGGGCCTCCTGTTACCATCCTCTGGAGGTTCACATCAGCCCAGAGGTCCCGTGGTGTTCAAGGAGCATCCTGGATTCCAGGAGCCATGATCTGGTCTGTGAACTGCTTTGGACCCAGGAGGTGGGTTAAGTTCACCTACTTCATTTCCCTTTGTGGTTTGGTTTGGTGAGCATAGCACTATCTTTGCTCTAGAAGCTTCCAGCACACAGAGGAAGCCAACATGCACTTGAAGATACCTGCCACAGCCACCACTCCTGTTCCAGGGAGTTTGTGTCAGCGTGAAGATGCACAAGCCCAGGCCTCACACACCCCCGGAAGCACTCCCCCCCCACACACACCAGCACACTCACACATACAGACACTCATGCCCACGCACCCACACACTTACACACACATGCACGCTTACATGCCCACGTGGCAGCCCCTTGCCACCCTGTGTCCTGTTGTCCGTCTGCCCCACCGCAGTAGCCCTCCACTGGCCGGCCACCCTCAAGTCTGGCGGGTGGGTCCCTGTCAGACCTCGGCTGCAAGCTACCTTGATGTCAACATGAAACAGAACATGGAGTAGTCAGATCCGGCTGGGGCTCCACCGGAGGCTTGCAGCTCTCAGCAGCCCTGCACTGCGAGGAGATGCCCTCCACAGCTGTCCCCCGCCCCGAGGGAGTGGGCACTGGGCAGCTGCTCCTGCCGAGATCCGGGCTTAGGTCGCTGTGGGCCTCTGGTCACATTTTTGTCTGCTGACCCATATTAACCTGCTTACTGTGTGTTTCTGCACAAAGACACCTCAGTCCCTGTATATTGTGATTCACCCACACTGTGCTCTCAATTGCCGGCACCTGGCCGTGTCTGGCAGAAGCTTATCTAACTTGTGTGTTTTCTCCGTGAGGCCCTTCACAGCCTTTCTGCTCTTCAGACACCAGCTCCACGCTGTGCCTGGGGCCGTTGTACACAGGAAACCACACCAAAGTGCACATGGGAGGGGCACCCCAGCCCGAGAGCTGCCTATGCAGCCTCCACCGGGGATGTGTGTGGGCAGCTCGAGCTTCCATGGCTCTGCCCGTGTCCACGCAAGGCAGGAAAGCACGCACCGCGAGTGCCGACTCTGTGCCTACAAAGAAGGAGTAAGCCAGCATATTTGCAATAGGGAACTTGCAAATAATGAGACGTGGCTTATTTTCTTTGCAGGAAACCGAGATCAGAAGTAAATGTACACAGCATGACCGGCGGGCGTCCAAGCATTCCTCTGGAACTCCTGCTGTGTCAGAGCACCTGGGGGCTGGGGGCGAGGCCAGCCCAAGCCCCTGGTGTGGCCTTCTCTAGCGGCCAGCAGGCGCGCCTGCAGTGAGCTCCTGGTGACACTGCTCCCCTGACCCCACCAGTTGGTGCCTTGCCCTGCCCCTCCAGGAGACCAGGCCGGGCTCTGCTTGCCTGAGGGAGGCCGTGGGGCCCGGGTCAGCCTGCAGGGAAGCAGGCTGGGCGAGAGCCTGTGACGGCTTCCTCCTGTCGGCCTCATGCAGATCATGACGTGGGTTTCCCCATGTGAAACCTCGTCAGGGATGCCGAGTTCAGCCCACCGGAGCCTGCAGGACCCCAGCGTGGCGGGTCAAAAGGAACAGAAAGGGAAGATTTGTCTCGATGAGTCATTCGCTGCGTCCCTTGGGATAGCTAGTTTTAAAATAGTTGGGACTTTTTCAAGATCACAGCGACTCTCAGGCTATTTTAGTGCAAAGTTCAATCAGAGAGAGAGGCGAGCACATGGGACGGCTTCAGAGGGAACCTGCCCTGCTTTGGCATAGATCGAATCAGTCTTTGCATTTGGTTCCTGCTCTAATATCCTCAGAACAACATCTTTTATCTGCAGAGCGCTTAATGCAAGGGCCACATGGAAACAAGATCAAAATGCTGCAGGTCAAGTTCTTCCAGGGAGAGGGACTGCGAGGTGGCCTGGGTATGTGCCCCCCGCCCAACTCCTGGCAGACTACGTGGCTCAGGGGGCCGCCCCAGGCTGCACGCACACCCCCCTGAGGCTTGCATGGCCTCTGCCTTCCAGCCCCGACTTGCTGGCTGGGGAGTCCCTTCTGAAAGGACGTGTCTGACCCACCATGCTGGTTCCTAGGGTGGCCACACAGATGCACGTGGGGGCTGCGCCCGGCTGGGTTCCTCACACAGCTCTGCATCCCAAGCAGGGAGGGGGCCCAGAGCCAGGGGGATGCTTGGAATTTGGCTTCCACGGAACTAATGGCTCCTTGGAGAACACCTCTGTGTGTTTTGAACTTGCTCCTGAGCCCCAGGCCCACAGTGGCTAAAGCAGGAATAGATACAACCCACGGGGCCTAGCCTCTCTGCAGAAAGGGCCCCTCAGCTTTTGTTCCCACATTTTTTAAAGCAGAGTCGTCCTTTTCCATTGACAGGGCAAACCCACGGACATGCATTCGGACAGGTGGGCCAACGAGTTCCCCTCTACCTCTCACGCTCGGAAGGACCGTCTGGACTCCACGGCTCTGGGCGAGGTGTGAAGGCTCGCCCACAGCCCCCTCGGGAGGAGGGGAGCTTCTGTAGGGACAGCCACCCGAGGGGCCCATCCAACTGGGGAGCCCTCCAGAGCATTCTGGCTTTGGGGGTGGGGCGGGCGGATCTTCACTTGGCTTTGCAGCAGCAGTGCAGAGGGTGAGGCCTGGGGTGGGGTTGGGGAGCCTGCGCCTTTCTGACTGAGATGGTCTCCTGCCTAAAAGCACCTCACCTACAGGGAGGGCCCTGCGTTGGGCAGGACAAAGGCAGAATCTCAGCCCCCCTTCCGGCCATTCTTCCCCACTGGGACACCCACAGTCTGACGGGGCAGGGGCAGAGCAGCTTTCTGGATCTGCCCAGTCTCTACCTTGCCCTGCTCCCGGGCCCCATCTCCATCTCTTCTCCACTTCCACCTCCATCTTGGCTCATCTTATCTCAACTTATCTCCTCATCTAGTTTCGTCTTGTCTCACGTCATCTCATCTCATCCCATCCTCCACCTCTACCTCCATGTCCATCTCATCTCCATCTGCAGCTCTATCCCTTATTCTCACTCCATCTTTTACTCTTTCCACCCGTCTTTACCAAGCAGTGAGTGGCCTCTGGGTGGTCACAACTCCCTTGGGGCTGGCAGACTCCGGCAGTGACCTATGATGGCTACCCTAGGCTGCACATAGGGGAACTGAGGCCCAGCCGCCATGACTTGGCCAATCACCATAAACAGAGGGGCAGAGGGCAGGCCGGTCCCACGTCTCCCGACCGCATGCTGACTTCAGGATGCGTGTGGCTGCATCCTGGGCTCTGGCGGCAGAAGGCAGGGGGACCGAGGATTGGTGAGTGGTTCTGGTGGAAGCCTTTGGTGAGGAAATGACTATGGGCCAGGGTTTCCTGCAGGAGCTGGAAATGCAGTGACTGGCTGAAGGCGTGCGCGTCTGCGCAGCCGTGCTGGGCCCACCTCCGCGCGGGGCTGCTAGCAGGCAGGACTCCTCAGGGCGGCTGAGGGGACCCTGAGAATAAGAGGTACTTTCTCCTCCTTTTTGGAGGTGTCTTTGCTCAGAACATTGTTTTCTTTTGTCTTCACTGAGAAAGCACATTTTGTTATGGGAAAATGAAACCAAGAACTGCTGGCAGGTAAACAAAACAACACACAAACCCGTCCTGGGGAAACAGGACGGCACCTCACCTCCCTGAGAACCCCCAGGTGAGCACACATGTGCACCTACTGTTCACCTGAACCACCTGGCACCTCCAGGCCGACTGCCCCAGGCAGGGACGGGCCTCAGCAGGGGGCGTTCAGACTTTCTGACATTCGTACCACGAACTGTGTTTCTCTTGGCGCTGCTTCTGACTGAGTCAGAGAAACCGGACACCTCTATTTCAGTGATGGAGATTTCTGACCCCTGTCTGGGTTTTCTGTTTTATTGCATCTGAAAGAAATTGCCTCTTAGGTATGAAAATGGCTGCTTTGATATTCCTGGAGCTTGTATAATGTGCTGGGTGCAGATTCTACCTCACTGACCCTCCTGGAAACTCAGAGACCAAGCAGTGGACTGCGGGGGGACAGAGACCTCTGTACTGGCAATGAGGCCTTGGGGATGCTGGGCCTCTGCCCCATGGCTGCATAGCATCCCTCCCGTACCAGGACTGATGACTGATGGCTGTTGATAGGCTCCCCCTCCTCTGGAGCCAAGGCCAGCCGGGCCGTGTGCTCAGGCCGCATGGCATGGTGGCAAGGGGAAATCCCAGGGACGCTGGGCCCACCTGTGGGGAGGGTGGGTCTCTGGCAGCAGGGCCTTCGTGCACGTGGCAAGCTCCTGATGATGCGCCTGTGCAGCCGGCTGAGGACCCAGCCCCGAGGACGGTGCAGAGCAGGGGGAGTTCTCCCCTACTGGCGGCCTCCCCCGCTGGACCCTCATAGGAGGGAAGGACGCCTGCTGCTGTCGCCCACCAACCGTGTGGTCACTGCCCTAGAGGCTCATTCCCCAGGCCCTGCAGGCTGCCTGGGCTCCCAGAATTCACTCCCAATGCCCAGCCTCTGTGCCATTGAAGGCACCATCAGTGTCCATTTCCATGCTGGACCAGTGACCAGCCCAGCACTTGGGCCCCCCACCACAGGGCCCGGGTGTGGGTCAGTAGAGGAGGGTGGGTGCCCACACTGAGCTGCGGCCCGTGGAGCAGGGCATCTCTGGCTGGGCCTGGGAAGCAAGGATGTGGCCTGAGGGCAGAGGCAAGGGTCTGGTTTGGGGCTGTGGGGCTGGACTAAGGAGCTCAGAGAGGGGACTCGGGATGGGGGTGTGGGGCAGGGCTGTGGGGCTGGGCAGACACCCTGGGCCCCCACGCCCCAGGGACGAGGAGCAAACTGCTCTTGGTGACCCAGAGGTACGGAGTCAGCAGGAATCAGGTTTTCCCTGTACACAGAAGGAAGTCATGGAACTGGGATGGGTTGGGGCAGGGGGATGCTCTCTGAGTGATGTGTCTGCTGGTTTCCTGGCCCCTGAGTGCGGGGCTCCCTCTCCTGGGTGGCTCTGGAGGAGGGCCGGGTGGGCAGGAAGGCTGGGAGAGTATAGAGGGCCAGGCCCCTCTGGAAGCTGGCCCTGTGGGCTGCTGGGTCGCAGACCACAAGCCTATTGTCATGCAAAGACAGGGCCTGGAGGGGCCAGGCAGCCCCTCTCTAATTGTCCATGAGAACTGGGGCGAAAAGCTAGACTTTAAAGGCCAGCGAGCTCCAGGACCAGCCCAACTTGAAGGGGCTTTGCACTTCCCACGTGGTTCAGTTAAATTTGCTGTGAGAGTTCCGCTTTGGGATTGATGTGTTTGCTTGTTGGTGATTATTGTCCCCTCTCAGGTCTTTAAGGGAGGAATAAGGAGAATCTGCGGCCTGCAGAGAGGTCCTCTGTGCAGAGCGCCCACTGCGGGTTGCCTTTTATGGTAAAGCCCTCCCTGCGCTGCCCGGAATGTGGTTTTTATTTTGCAACAAAGCAAATGTTTTAACATTTGTTTTCCTTTAACAAATAAATATTGGCTCCCACAAATGTCAGTAAAGACTATAATAATAAACCCAAATATTCATGATTAATAGAGGGAGAAAAATGTCCCCCTCTTAATCCCTTCCCAAAATTAGGCTCCAAGGTAGGATTCTCCAGGGGAGTCATGCATCTCAGGAGTTCTCGCCCCTCTGGGTCCTTCAGGAGCCAGCGGGTATCCGCGATTCTGAGGGTGAGCTTTCCTCTGGCCTGGGGTTGCCTGGCCCCCAAGGCCTCCACCTGCTGTTCCCACCTGGACTGTGAGGGGCCAGAGCCTCACCAGGCTCCCAGGCAAGGCCCCACCCCCAGCAAGGGCCCAACGTCACACATGAATTCCTGGGCCCTGGCCTCCAGGGGTCTGGGGCAGCCCTTCTGAGGAGGCCCCATGGGAGCTGGGGTCCGGGCCTTTAGACTCCAACCCCCACTGGTTGACCCAGTGGCTGGCGGCCCCCAGACCCACCAGGAAGACCTCCAAGGCTCAGATGTGACCAAGCTTGGGAGGCTGCCAGGGGATGTGCAGAAACAGCCCTCGTGTTGTGCTCCAGACCAGCCAGTGTGTCTGCAAAGCCAGGCCACCCCCAAGTGTCCTCAGGGAAACCCTGCCTGAGCAAGTGACAGATTGTGTCTAAGGATGGACCTCAGGCCTCACGCCCCCCACACACACTCAGGCTCACGCAGCACAGTGCACATGCACACTCATACTGCACACTGCACCCCCACAGCACACACATGCACAATCTCTCATGCACATGCATTCATGCATATGCACACCCTCACACGTCATGCTGCACACATGTGCACTTGTATCATACACACATGCATGCACGCACACACACACACACACTCTATCAGGGCTCAGCCTTGTATCTGGGCACCTCTCCCAGCTCTCATATCACTGCTGTCATGAGTTCAGGGTTGGTGTGGAAAGTCAGGTCGGTGACGGGGAGAGAACGACACAGCCCCCAGACTCAAAATGTGGATCCTGAAAGAGTGAACAATTCCAGGAGGGAGCTGCTTCACTCCATGCCAAGGTGACCGCGGAGGGCAATGGAAAATGTGCATCTCTCCTACCACTACACAAATGGCTGCGCTGTCACCATGACACATGCAGCCTGCAGGTGCGGGTGCTCTGCACTCACACCCAACGTCCTCCCACAGGGCGGGCATTAGCCACAGCCGGTTCTCTCTTCCTTGAAAGAAACACAGCAACAAACATCTATGTTTGATGGCTGCAGGCACCTTTGGCCTGCCTGGCTGGACGCAGCCTCCCAGGATCCTGCTGGGGGCGTCTGCTCTAATTAGGGATTCCATAGACTCATCCTGGGGATGCGCCTGGACCTCTGTGCCCCCTGTGGGGCAGGAGGGTGGTGCCCACGGACGGATGTTCCGTGTCTGGGTCACTGTCTGTTCCTGCCCAGCAGAGCTCCTTGTGTGAGGCATGCTGGGCAGCTGGATGGCGCCGTCCTCAGGGATTCCTTCTGCTTGGGCAGAGTACAGGGATCCTCCTAGTGGCACAGTCCCTGGCTGGGGACACCGGAACCCAGGCAGTGCTAGCTTCCTGGATTCCCCTAAAGCTGCCTGATCCTGGCCCAGGCCGGGTTGGCGGCAATGAAAACAGTGGAGTGGCACTGAAAAGAACCTCAGCCCTTCTCAGAACCCCTGACCCTGAACTTCAGCCCCAAAGTGCTGTAGGGCCAAGGACTTGTGGCCAGCTGAGCAGGGGCTCCTGTGGAAGGACCACCCAGAGGTTCTGCATGTAACTGTCAGTGTCTGAATTTGAAAAAGGTTGGCAGGAGTGAGGGGATGGACTCGGATGAAATGGGGGTGGCCCTCCTCAACTGGCCAGCTTGAGGGTGGCCCACACAGAGGGCCGTGGGCAGGGGGCCCATCTGCCAAGCACCAGCAGGATGCGATGGCCAAGGGTGAGGCTGGAGCTGGGGTGTTGGGTCCTAGCTCTGCTCCAGACTGGCGTATGTGGTGGGCAAGTAACCTGACTTCCTGCATTATAGGAATGTTTAAAAGCTCCTGCCTCATAGGGGTGCGGTGAGCATGACGTGCTCAGGGCAGCCTCTGCAAATGAGCATTGCCATTTGTATGTTCTCTGACACCCCTCAGCTGTGGTGGGCAAAGGCAGGTGGGATATGAGCCAGGTGAGCTGATTGACGTGATGACCCACACTCACCCTCCCTGGACCCACCTTTGCCATGTTACTTGGGGTCCCTTGTGCTCTGATGCTGGCCAGGCCATGTGGCTCTCTAGCCAGTGGGGTGTCAGCAGATGTGGTGCAAGCAGAGGCTTGAGGAGCACCTGTGCAGCTGGATCACTCAGCCAGAGCCTCTGCCACCACCATTAGACCATGCCCAGGAGTGTCTGTTGGTGGAGGGGAGCTTGGGCACAGTACTGGGCCCTCAGCCAGCCAACCCCTAGTGTGTGAGCAAGCCCAGAGAAGATCAAGGTAAACATGAGGGAAAACACACCCACCCACCAGGGCTGGGTTACCAAAAACTAAAGATGAAAGAAAATCTTCAAAGGACAAGAAAACTTACAGCTAACTTTCCCAGAGAGACCATGGAAGGTGGGAGGTAGTTGAACAGGGTCTTTAAATGAGTTTCAGCCAAGGATTTTGAGGTTCCAATCAATCTGTTTAACTTTTTATTTTCAGATGCTTTTACATGTTATTCTTAAGAGTGGCAAGAGTCCTGGTATATACTTCACTGAGTGTCCCTAACATCAACATGTGACATAATGGGCACAATGATCAGAAGTAACACACAGGTGTTGACTCGGTACTTCAGCTAACAGCAAGCTCTGTTGGGACGTCCCTGGGTTTCTGCTGACGTTCCTTTTCCATCCTCAATGCCGCACTGCCTTTCTGGCCTGCCCAGCTCTGCCCGCTTCATCCAGGACACCGCCTCAGCCTTCCCTGCTCTCTCATGACCGTGGCGCTCCTGAAGAGCCCTGGCTGGGTGTTTTGCAGGAGGACCCTCAGCAGGGGCTCATGGGAAATGTTCTCGTGATCACCACTGGGCCAAGGATTTGGGGAAGAGCACCACAGAAGTGCCCTTTCCAACATGTTGGGGCGGGACCACACCACTCATCACTGGCGATGCCACCTTGGTCAACAGGGAGAGGTGAGGTGGCGTCTGCACAGTTCTCCAGCACAAAGCCATGAATTTTCCTTCTGTGTACTCACTGGGAGTGGCCCCTGAGTCCAGATCACACTCAAGAGGGGGGCCACGTAAGCTCTGTCTGCAGGAGAGAACAGGATAAACGAGCCAGTGGACTCCTCCTGGAATCACCACAGCACTTATGGCTTTGAGCATGCAGATAACTCTCTTTCCTTAGAGTCTCCCGCTAACCTAGCATCGTCAGTGGGTCTCAGCCACAGCGACCATTCCTGTGGGGCCATGACGGTGGTTTTCTTTTCCCTCATTCCTGCTACATTTGTAAATTGGAATTTTCTATTAAGGAATAGTTGTCTCTCTCTCTCATTTATTTATATATTCAATCATTATTTAAATCAGTGTGGACTCACAGATATTTGTTCCGTTCTTTGGGCTCTAAGTCAACAATAGTGCAACTTATCTGTCGCTCAATACCCAAGTATCTTATGTCCAGCAAAAATGAAGGCAAAATACAGGTATTT